GCACCCTCACTTACCCCCTTGTACCAACTCTCAGCCCCGCAGCTCAAACTTCCCCAAAAATCGATAATGTCGGTCGGTCGGCATCTAGTCTATACATCAGCAAGAAGTCATATTTTACCCATTATGGACGATATAAAAAGCAGTCGATATAAATTTTTATGCTGTGCCCAAAAGATTCTTCTTCAGATGGTCTGAAAGAGATTGATATACACCAGAATTAACCTTATTTCTTATCAGCATCAACAATGTAAAAGCAAAGGGTTTGCTCTACTTTCTACACCAATTAAAATCCACATATGATTTTTTTACTGTCGCAAGCAGTCGGAAGAATGCGTCTCTCCATACAGTTCAAAGGTATAACGGTTGCAAAAGATGCATTGCCGAGTTTTGCAGAAAAAAACGCAAACGAAGTGAGCTTGATACTCAGTAGTTGGCTTTGCAACAAAGTCGAATAATCTCATTACGGAGTCATTCGAATACGAATTCGAGTAAATATTCGAATAAAACATTCGAATAAAATCTATTCGAAACCCGTTTTTTTGATTATTCGAGTTTTCGAATAATATTCGAAACCTCGTTTTTTGATTATTCGAGTTTTCGAATAATAATCGAGACCTCGTTTGCTGATTATTCGAGTCTTTGAATAATATTCGAAACCTCGTTTTTTGATTATTCGAATTTTCGAATTTTATTCGAAACCCTGTTCTTTGATTATTCGAGTTTCGAATATTATTCGAAAATGGAAGAACTCCGAATATCGAATTTCGAATACGAATATATTCAAATGTTTTATTCGAATGATCGAATTTCTATTCGATTCGGACCCAAGTATAATGTATAAGTTTGCTAGTAATAACACCCCTGCTACTAAAAGTCTCCATATATTCAGTAAAAGGACTGGGTTCGCATGTAACCTACTGAAGAATTTGCATTGTGCTTGGGTTCGCCAACCCAGCGCTCAGTGGGTTTCGGAACCTACGAAAGCTGGGTAACTTGTTTCGTGGATACAGGTATGCTTGACTTTTGGGTTCGCAAACCACTGGGTTCGTTCGTGAATGCCGGTTGAGTGGCTTTTTGTGGGTTCCGGAATCCACTGGGTAGGCTCAACCCACTGGGTTCCGGAACCCACTAGTTTCGTGAATACAGATTTTGTGGGTTGAGCCTTCTGGATGGGTTCTGAACCCACTGGGTTCGTTAATGAATACGGCCACTGGTCTCTCACGCTGTTCAACTTGAACAAAGAAACAGTATGTCAATGAGGGCAATCGCACGTTCCATAACGAAGAAGTCTTGCCATCAAACTCAACCCTTTCTTAAGAATATGTTCTGCCAAATGACCGCAGCACAAGTTTGAGTAAAATCATGACTCAGATTTGAAGCTGAGAAAAACCAAAAGGCTGTGTCAGTTCAGCAGTACACTTGTCCAGATAGACTAGAAAAGTGAGTTTATGACCTAGAAGAGTACAACTATTAGTGACAGTGGATGAGCAGATGAAATTAAAGGCAACGTCCAGGCAGATCTGGACCTATGGGAATTTTACGTGGAAAGTAGTTTTGGAGTTCTGACTAAGGCACTGCCCAAGCGGCAGCGCAGGTGACTCACTAACGGCTGAGATATACGCCTCAAAACTGGACCCCGCGATCGTACTAGCATGGATTCATGGCAGTTTCGCGCCATACACGCTTTGCGCCATGAATCCATACGGAATACGATCGCGGGGTCCAGTTTCGAGCGGAATATCTTGGCCGTTAGAGCACTACTTGAGCTGCCGGTTGGGTAGTGGCTTGGTCAGGGCCCCAAAATTACTATCCATGTGAGATCCCCATGTGGAACGCCCGTAAAAGGGCTCGGAACTGGGAGGAGTTGCAGGTGCGCTCCATCGTCATTTCGATTAGAGCACCATTTTTTCAACTGGAGCGCACTATCTCCAAACACTTGGTTTCACGCCGGATGTTGATGTCTTATTGCAATGCACAGCTCTTACTAAAGTCATGAGGGAAAATGAGATGACATTGCTGTTTCGCGGTGATAGAGAGGAAGTTGCTAACATGTAATCTGTCATCACATGAAGCGCTAATGGGCATCGAGTTTTTTATATAGTATCTTTTTCTGGTTGTTTACACGAAAATGTATTCGCAGATCTCTATATGTGGTGTTAGCATCTGGTAGAGATCGTAGATGCTGTTCTCTCCATTGCCTTTTCGATGGAGCTAGGTGATTCGTTCACCATTAGCGAATTCTACTGATGAACATCAAAGGTAATGTGCAAACCATACAAGGTATTAAATCATTCTGATCTTTTTTGATAACGTTGCTTTCATAGAGTGCTAAGCACCACATAACAATTTTCCCTGGATGCGTCTCGCACACCAGTCTAGAAGTGAGTACGGTAACATACTTTCGTCGAAGGAAATACTAGGTAACCCTTTCTTTGGGCGCTATTCGGCTATCCGGGCCCCAAAAATTTTTCGTCATGGATTTTGCTAAAACTTAGCCCAGGGGAGTTATTCAGGCCGCTGATCACAGATATCGTACTGGTTTTGCACGGTAGCGTCATTTTCCGGGGTTACGGAGGGTATAAGGTAAGGGGACAAAATCGTGGGTTTCGCTCAGAATCGGTGTAAGGGGTGGGGGGGGGGGGTATTCGACCCGCTGATGCCGGATATCATACTGGTATTGTACGGTAGCGCCATTTTCTGGGGTTATTACGGTGGGTATACGGTGGGGGGTCAAGACCTGGATTTGCGTGAAACTTGGCCCAGGGGGGTAATTTGACATGCTGAACACGAGTATCTTGTTTTTACCTCACGAAGACGCTTTCCTGTATGGATATGATAGCTATACGGTAGGGCGTACGATACGCGGTAAATCATTGTCTCCTGTGTTTGCTTAGGAAAGCCGCCGCAGAGTGTCGCGCGCAGCGATGGTCCTGTAAGAAAGGCATGACGGTAGGGCGAGTCGGTCTACACCCAACACCAAGGCTGCGTTCACGCTGGTTACAAAATCCGGGAACAGTCCCAGCACAACGCTCACTTTGAGCGCTGTGCTGGAACTGTTCGGATCAGTATGAACGCAGCCAAATGCAAAGTTCCATTCAAATTTGCCATTTTTTGGCAACTACGGTAAACCCTCAGTAATTTCATAAGAAGGCCTCATCGTGCGAAAAGAGTATGATTTTCGTGATTAGCATATCAAATAGCCTTCCTAAGCCAAATTTCGGTGCAATCCGTGATTTTGACTCCCTACCGTATAACCCACTGTAGCCCCAGAAAATGACGCTACCGTACGAAATAAATATGATATTCGGCATCAGCAGGTCGAAATAACCCCCCTAGGTCAATTTTCTGCAAATCCGCAATTTTGGCCCCCCTAGCGTGTATCCACCGTAGTCGCACAGGGAGGCGTCCTCGCGCGAAAAAAAGGTGTTCGTGATCAGCATGCAAGGTACCCCCCCCCCCCTGAGCCAAGTTTTAACGAAATCCATGGCTAAAATTTTTTGGGGCCCGGATAGCCGAATGGCGCCGCTGGACAAGTATAGCTCCACATACAGAGCAGCCATACATAAGAATTTCACGAAAGCAATTCTTCGAGTAAGTGCAGGACATATCCAATGTCAGCTTAATCATAATAAGTATGGAAACGAACAATAAAATGAAACGTAATACATTGGAATCACTTGTTTTCATGGAGTTCAAACTAAAAGTTCAAAACTGTGTGTGGGACAATCGATCATACCAAAAAAAGCATTAGCTTTTCAGCATAACGTTTTTAGCTCTTCGGCATAACGTTTTACAGACGACTTTCATAGAGATGTTAAGTGTGTACTTTACCCATAACCATATATAGAAATGGCGTCACTGCGAAGTGTTGGAGGATGATGTTGAAAGAGGAAGCAATCGTAACAGCGACTAATCACACTGGTGTGACTAGTTGCGTTACATACTTCAACAACTTCCTCTAGTTTACCGGATAACATGTAGCCATCTCTTCCTCAATCAATCTCACGACTTGTATATACTAGCAGCCGTGCAACAGTCATACATCAGCAACCTTTCATGACTGACACTTCTTTTCAGATGCACAAGTGTTTAGAGATAGTGCGCTCCAGTTGAAAAAATGGCACTCTAATCGAAATGACGATGGAGCGCACCTGCAACTCCTCCCAGTTCCGAGCCCTTTTACGGGCGTTCCCCCATGTGTCCAGACTTGCCTGGACGCTGCCTTTAACTGTGAATATCACAATTAACACAATGAGTATGCATAAATGTATTACAAGCAAACCTATCTTAGGTCTTGTTTACAGGAAAAGTAGTGACATATTACATTATAAAAGAAGACATTGTCAAATTTACAAAGTGTCGAGCCTTTATGAGATTAACACACTGACGACCGCTTGACACACAGGGTGTGTCAAGGCTTGACACATCATGTGCGTAGTTGAGATGGCTACTATTTTGTGATGAACCCACTTCGGGAGTTTTCTTTTGTGGTGGATCGACACAACCTTTACTGTTTTTGCCAGCATTTCAAAGTTACTGTGGTGTACTGTGAAATTGCGCGTGGTTTTATCTAAAAAATGTTTACCGGTCCGAAATCGCCTTGGTCGTCAATGTGTTAATGATAAAACCGGTGATGTACCCGTACGCACAGAGTCGATGGAAAAAAGAGATCACAACTCGTCCATGTTACTATTTGTTGAAAAAATCCTCTAGCTTCTTCTTGGATGCCGGTCCCTTCGCGTTCGCATTAGATGCGCGCTTCTTTCTATTCGGCTTCTGCTCGTGTTCAATAGCAGCCTATAGCTTCCTTGCTTGTTCCAGTTTATGGAAATGATCCAACTCCTACAAGTGAATAGCTTAAAGACGATTCGCTGCAAATAAGAATTACAGACACATAATACCTACTGCTTTGATAATCGGTGGTAGTTCTGCAAATACAGCAGGCGATATGGTTCCTATGTCGCGTGACTCCACAGCGGAGATGGTATTCTTGGTCGTACTTTGCTCAAACAACGCGGGATCATATATCTAGAAAATCACAACATTCTGAGAGCTGTGATCCTTGGTTATGGATAAGTTTTAGTTGAGTCCAAATAAAAAAATTTGGTACTAAATGGGTCTGATTTTTGCTGGCATACCTGCCAACCATCGTCATCCCGTATTTCAGGCTTCTCTTCTTTTTTCTGCTCCGATGAGACTCTACTGGGAAAATTAGCGTGCAAGTTTAGTCGGTTTCAGCTGATGTACTCGGCATTTCCTAAAACTCTGGCAAATCGTTGATCTAAAATGTCACTCAGATACTCACTGCATCCAAAGGACACACATCGCCAGACGTCTTCCGCTCGGCCGGTGCCGCCGTTGTAAGATGTGCATCTTGTCCAGCCTCGTTCAACTGCAGTCGTTTCTCTACCCACTCCATGATGTTCTTCGACTGAATGTTTATGCCGTCCGTAAAACGAGAGGCACTCATCGAGAGATTAAATACCGGAGGAATCCTGAGTTAGTGTTGAAAATACAAAAACTGCAGGATTCAGAGCAAGCCAAACAAATTTACCATTGGTCACCTCCAAGCGGAGCTTTGTTGAAAGTCTTGGCTGCGCCCCAAACAGCATCTGCCACTGCTTGTGGACTGTAGGATGTAATTTTTGTTGTTTTTGACGTATGTACATGTGATTCGTTGATTATGCCGAAGATTACGTTTTCCGCAGTTCTTTTGTTCTGGAAATGATGAGGAAGCCGTTTCTAAAGATAACAATTGCTTGACTCACCCTGACTTGGTCAGCTACAAGCTTTTCACATAACTCTTTGCATAACCCATCAATATACCTAAATCTTGTTCTTAAATGGCCAACATTAGCAGAGAAAGATCAAAATGAAAGACCGAAAAGGTCATTATAACTGCCCTAACATGTTGTCAGCTAAGTCTGAAAAGTGTGTAAGTCCGGACTTATCTGGTGGGAGGTCCTATCTGTGAGATTAGGGTAGTAAAAGGCAAGATTAACCTGAAATCGTTTACCTGCGCACCTCAGCAACCGTAGTCAGTGCATTCTTTGCCAGAAAGTTCTTACTAACACCAATGGAGAGCTGATTGTTTCGCGGTTTCACCTAAAGACGGGCACACGTTGATTTTTCCTTGTATCAGCATCACTAAGACTTACAGTCTCATCGTCATATCCTTTTGCCAGCTGGCTGATCCAATGTGCTTTCTTTCCAAAATGCTTTTTAATAAGTCCAAAAGGTATCGCAGCAAGATCTCCCATAGTCTGAACAAGCAGGAAATCCGAAATTCGTAAAAGGAAGGAAAGGTTTACCTTTACCGACAGTAATCCCTGTATTGCATAACCCAACTTCCCTCCCAACATGCGTATATCACCAACTCGTGTCTCGCTAAAGATGACTGGCACAAAATCAAATGGGATGATGGTTTGATGTCGAGGCTTATGTCGAGCACAAATTAGTTTGGCCAACATCTGAACAAGAGACCTAGATTTGAAACCTTTAACCCTTTCAAATAATTACAACTAAACCTTATTATTTCCAATTCCTCCCGAACAGTGAAACTGTGTGCGTTCCCGAATTCTGGCTCGCAACCGCTCCACAAATTTGGCAGCTATGGCGAGACGTAACTAGAATGTATTGATAAAAAAGATAAGGTAGCTGTTACAGTTTATGTCATGAAAATAGGAAGCAAACATGTCTGATCTCCGTTGCGCACCAATTGCCTAGCCAACTTCGCACGCTCGCCTCTCGGTCATAGACATCTTCGTTGCCTCGGTCATTTCCGTCTGCCACATGGGTGGTTGGTAGAATAGTTGATAAGTTACTGGTCAGCTGAATACCTTTTCTGATCCAAAAGACGCATCGTTTGAGTAGAAATTCTAACTGTTACATAAAATCATTGACAGCCTAAACTCACATCTTGCAAAAGTTGAGCTACGCCAATTTCCACGATTGTCTGATCCACTAATTCCGTCATATCCAAAAACGCTTCGTCAACTGAAACACGTTCGACGACAATACGTTCATCGAAGTTGTTAAATACGTCAAATATCTCAGCACTGGCATCCCTAGAAAATCTTTCTTGAGACTAATATTACCAATCTATGCGGTTGCATGGAGTTCTCCTAGCTCCAGCGACAGGTAACTCAAGCTTATGTACATGCTTGGATACATTTAACAGCGAGAGATTCTGCATTAGAAAAGAGGTTCATTTCATCAGCACTATGAAATTTTTGCTATGCTTCCTATTCTCTATCAACGAGCAGACAACCGGCAATATTTGCGCGTACGAAACGGCCCAAACTTTGGCGTGCTAACATTTTTACCGCCCAAATGTTGTTGACTCCGCAAGAACACGATTTTGAACACTAGATTACAAGGACTATAGACATTTGCAGTACCTGTACTTTTGCATATCTGCCTTGCCAAGGTGTTCTCCTTGAGAAGCGAAGCACACATTCAAATCGGGGCATACCGCTCTGGCTTGTGATATCGTCATCTTTCGTTCAACACCAAGAATTTGTGCTTCGTAACTTACTACACCGATCCTAAAAACGAAACTAGACGAACATGATACGCATATAAACTACAAAAGACCACACTCACCTTCCTGGTGCTCCTTCCTTATCTTGCGACGCAAGTACTACTGGCTTTCCCCATAGCTCTGGTCTCTCACGCTGTTCTACTTGAACAAAGAAACAGTCCATGTCAATGAGAGCAATCACACGTTCCATAGCGGAGAAATTTTGTCATCAAACAAACTCAACCTTTTCTTAACAATATGTTCTGCCAAATGCCTTCAGCACAAGTTTGAGTAAAATCATGACTCAGATTTGAAGCTGAGAAAAACCAAAAGGCTGTGTCAGTTCAGCAGTACACTTGTCCACATAGACTGAAATATGAGTTTATGACCTAGAAGACTACAACTATTAATGATAATGGAAGAGCAACTGAAATTAATTGTGAATATCACGATTAACACAATGAGTATACAAAAAAGTGTCATTACAAGTAAACCTATCTTAGGTGTTATGTTTACAGGGAAAGTAGTGACATATTACGTAATAAAAGAAGACAATGTGAAATTAACAGTGTCGAACCTTGATGAAATTAATGATAAAACCGGTAATATTGTACCCGTTATGCACATAGAGTCTGCAGAAAAAAAAGAGATCGCATATACTTTGTCATAAGCCACTCAGGTTTGTTACGATGTTTATTTGGTCTAACGTTTCGGCAATTATGCCTTCCTCAGAGACCTGGAAGAAAGTCTTACACTTGTTTTTCACACTATGCCGTCATAAACATCGTAACAAACCTGAGTGGCTTATGACAAAGTATATGACTTCAAGAAAATGCCCAGGTTCCATAACCAGAGAACATATAACATATTAAAAGAGATCACAATTCTTCCATGTTACTATTTGTTGAAAAAATCCTCTAGCTTCTTCTTGGATGCCGGTCCCTTCGCGTTTGCATTAGACGCGCGCTTCTTTCCATTCGGCTTCTTCTCACGTTCAGCAGCAGCTTTTAGCCTCCGTGCTTGCTCTAATTTATGGAAATGATCCAGCTCCTGTATGTGAGTAACATGAAGCCGATGGCTGGCAACTAAGAACTATAGACTAATGATCCCTACCGCTTTGATATTTGGTGGTAATTCTTCAAAAACAGCAGACGATATAGTTCCGATGTCGCGTGACTCCACAGCAGAGACGGTATTCTTAGTCGTACATTGCTCAAACAACGCGGGATCATAGACCTAGAAAATCATAAACTTCTTGAAATCTATGATGCTTGACGATGGAGTAAGTTTTAGTAGAAGGTTCAAGTAAAAGTTCAATAAATAAGCTGATTGGGTCTGATTTTTGCTGGCATACCTGCCATCCATCGTCATCTATCTGTATTTCAGGCTTCTCTTCCTTTTTCTGATCCAATGAGACTTTAGCTGCAGAACTGGAGTGCAAGTCAGTTTCAGCTGATGTACTCGGCATTTCCTAAAAGTCTGGCAAATCACTGGTCTAAATTGTGATTACTCACTGTATCCAAAGGACACACATCACCAGACGCCTTCTGCTCGGCTGATGCCGCCGCTGTAGCCTGATTTGTACCTTGCCCAGCCTCGTTCGACTGTAGTCGTTTTTCTACCCATTCCATGATGTTTTTCGACTGAATGCTTATGCCTTCCGTAAAACGAGAGGCACTCATCGAGAGGTTGTATATCGGGGGAATCCTAAGTTGTTGTTTGAAAAAATACAAAAAACTGCTGCGTTTAGAACCAGCCAAACAAATTTACCACTGATCACTCCCAAGAGGAGCTCTGTTGAAAGTCTTGGCTGCACCCCATACAGCATCTGCCACTGCTTGGGGGCTATAGGATGTGATCTTTGCTGTTTTCGACGCACGTACATACGAGTCGTCGAAAAAACCAAATATTACATTTTGTGCAGTTCTTTTATTCTGCAAATGACAACGCTTAAATTTAGGAGAGAAAACATTTTAATGATTCACCTTGACTTGGTCATCTACAAGCCTTTTACATAGCTCTTTGCATAATCCATCAATATACCTGAAATCTACTTCGATATACTGTTGTTCACTGGAGGACGAATTATCAAAGACACTCATGGTATGGATTGCAAAAACGCAGGTTTGATGTAAAATGGTAATTTTGAGGGCCTTCTTAACTCGAGTGATCCCAGCAAACCAATCCAAAAGAGAGCTACTCTTCGATAACCACTTACAAAAAAACATGTGTCCAAAACTGCCCAAGTTATGATAATGCTTATTACCTGCGCACTTCAGCAACCGTAGTCAACGCATTTTTTCCCAAAAAGTTCTTGCTAACAGCAATGGATAGCTGATTGTTCCGCGGTTTCACCTAAATGCCTAAATCCTTGTGATATCAATTTCGTAATAACTTCATCAAAACTCACTGGTTCATCGTCATATCCTTTTGCCAGCTGGCTGATCCACCGCGCTGTCCCTCCGAAATGCTTCTCAATGAGTTCGAAAGGCATTGCAGCAAGATCTCCCATTGTCTGCGAAGGCATTCATAAGGATCGCTCATACTTCAAAGTGGAACAATGGTAAGAACGAGAGACGGAAACAGCGGTAACTCTGGTAGCACTGGTGACGATAATGGAACAAGGGCAAAGTATGGCCAAACCTCAATTCGAAAACCTTAGGAATTCACGAAAAGTTTACCTCAACTGGAAGCAACCCCTGTATTGCATGACCTAACTTCCCTCCCAACATGCGTATATCGCCAACTCGCGTCTCGCTAAAGATGACTGGCACGAAATCAAATGGGATGATGGTTTGTTGTCGAGGCTTATGTCGAGCACAGATGAGCTTGGCTAGCATCTGAACCGAGATTTTGATTGAAAAAATTTGGGAACTTCCGAGAATCACAGCCAAGCAACCTTGTTATTTCCAATTCCTCCTGAGCAGTAAAACTGCGTGCACTCCCGGATCCTGGCACGCATCTGCTCCACAAACTCTGCAGCTACGGCAAGACGTAACTGAAGTATCTGGTATGAGGAGAAGTTCTTAAAGATCCTGTACAATCACTAGCGCCAAAAAAGAAGAACTGCGAACAAACATGACTGATCTCCGTTGCGCACCGATTGTCAAGCCAACTTCGTAGACTCGCTTCACGATCATAAACATCTTCGTTGTCCCGGTCATTTCCATCTGCCACATGGGTGGTGGGAAGAGTAGTGGATAAGTTGCTGGTAAGCTGAATATTTATGGCATTAAAACGGCACTTCAGCACAGTTTGAATGGAAATTCTAGTACCTTCATATAAGGAGTGACAACCTAACTCACATTCTGCAGAAGCTGAGCTGCACCAAATTCCAAGATTGTCTTATCCACTAATTCTGTCATATCCAAAAACGCTTCGTCAACCGAGGCACGCTCAACAATGATTCGTTCATCGAAGTTGTTGAGTACATCGAATACCTCAGCACTAGCATCTCTAAAAAAACTATTTTCGACACTGATATTCTTGAATATGGTTACCTCTCAATGGAAAGGGCGAGGAGGAGGTGCGATTTTATGCGTGGTTTTTGAGTGGAGTTTGCATCAGAAAGAGATTTTACAAACTATATCCTACCACGGGAAGAACGATGTGGTCTACGATCAACGCACTGTATAGGTGCCGACCACTAACGCATATAAAACGACACTTTCGAGCTCTGTGTCCACGTACCTCTTTTACGCGCAAGTGCTGTGGACACCGCAAGTACACTAATCTACAACTACTCTCTACATTTGGCATAAAAACAACCAGCTCACCTGTATTTCTGTATATCTGCTTTGTCGATGTGTTCTCCTTGAGGAACAAAGCACACATTTAATTCTGGACACTTCGCTTTCGCTTGTGGTATCATCATCATACGTTTAACTCCAAACTTCCTTGCTTCATAACTCACTGCTAAGATTCTAAAAAGCGATTCTGAGGAACGCATGCTTAGGAACCTCGAAATTTCATGCTCACCCTCCTGGTGCTCCTTCCCTAGCATGCTGCACAACAACCGTTGGTTTCCCCCACAGCTCTGGTTTCTCTCGCTGCTCTACTTGAACGTAGAAACAGTCCATGTCAATAAGCGCAATCACACGTTCCATGGCGGAGAATTCACGTCATTGAACAATTTCAGCCTTTTTCGGGATGACTATGTGACTGTAAAATATATAGCAGCTGTGATTTTAAATCGCCACGGCTATTCCTACTGTTCGCTCCACAGCCGACCCCCCCCCTCCTTTCCCTGTAGTCTGAACTTGTTTTAGCCTTTTCCATTTTTCCTGTGTTCTTGCCTCTTTCCTAGTTAACTGAAGGGGGAAGGGGGGGGGGGGGGAAGGAGGGCACTGTTGATAAACTGAACGACTGGTAAGATACACGCTTATCTGAGGCCTTGTTGCTCGGGTGAGGGAATTAACTACCCAAAGAACATGCCACAGCGTAGTTCTAAAGGAACGCCCGTAAAAGGGCTCGGAACTGGGAGGAGTTGCAGGTGCGCTCCATCGTCATTTCGATTAGAGCACCATTTTTTCAACTGGAGCGCACTATCTCCAAACACTTGGTTTCACGCCGGATGTTGATGTCTTATTGCAATGCACAGCTCTTACTAAAGTCATGAGGGAAAATGAGATGACATTGCTGTTTCGCGGTGATAGAGAGGAAGTTGCTAACAATGTAATCTGTCATCACATGAAGCGCTAATGGGCATCGAGTTTTTTATATAGTATCTTTTTCTGGTTGTTTACACGAAAATGTATTCGCAGATCTCTATATGTGGTGTTAGCATCTGGTAGAGATCGTAGATGCTGTTCTCTCCATTGCCTTTTCGATGGAGCTAGGTGATTCGTTCACCATTAGCGAATTCTACTGATGAACATCAAAGGTAATGTGCAAACCATACAAGGTATTAAATCATTCTGATCTTTTTTGATAACGTTGCTTTCATAGAGTGCTAAGCACCACATAACAATTTTCCCTGGATGCGTCTCGCACACCAGTCTAGAAGTGAGTACGGTAACATACTTTCGTCGAAGGAAATACTAGGTAACCCTTTCTTTGGGCGCTATTCGGCTATCCGGGCCCCAAAAATTTTTCGTCATGGATTTTGCTAAAACTTAGCCCAGGAGAGTTATTCAGGCCGCTGATCACAGATATCGTACTGGTTTTGCACGGTAGCGTCATTTTCCGGGGTTACGGAGGGTATAAGGTAAGGGGACAAAATCGTGGGTTTCGCTCAGAATCGGTGTAAGGGGTGGGGGGGGGGGGTATTCGACCCGCTGATGCCGGATATCATACTGGTATTGTACGGTAGCGCCATTTTCTGGGGTTATTACGGTGGGTATACGGTGGGGGGTCAAGACCTGGATTTGCGTGAAACTTGGCCCAGGGGGGTAATTTGACATGCTGAACACGAGTATCTTGTTTTTACCTCACGAAGACGCTTTCCTGTATGGATATGATAGCTATACGGTAGGGCGTACGATACGCGGTAAATCATTGTCTCCTGTGTTTGCTTAGGAAAGCCGCCGCAGAGTGTCGCGCGCAGCGATGGTCCTGTAAGAAAGGCATGACGGTAGGGCGAGTCGGTCTACACCCAACACCAAAGGCTGCTTTCACGCTGGTTACAAAATCCGGGAACAGTCCCAGCACAACGCTCACTTTGAGCGCTGTGCTGGAACTGTTCGGGATCAGTATGAACGCAGCCAAATGCAAAGTTCCATTCAAATTTGCCATTTTTTGGCAACTACGGTAAACCCTCAGTAATTTCATAAGAAGGCCTCATCGTGCGAAAAGAGTATGATTTTCGTGATTAGCATATCAAATAGCCTTCCTAAGCCAAATTTCGGTGCAATCCGTGATTTTGACTCCCTACCGTATAACCCACTGTAGCCCCAGAAAATGACGCTACCGTACGAAATAAATATGATATTCGGCATCAGCAGGTCGAAATAACCCCCCTAGGTCAATTTTCTGCAAATCCGCAATTTTGGCCCCCCTAGCGTGTATCCACCGTAGTCGCACAGGGAGGCGTCCTCGCGCGAAAAAAAGGTGTTCGTGATCAGCATGCAAGGTACCCCCCCCCCTGAGCCAAGTTTTAACGAAATCCATGGCTAAAATTTTTTGGGGCCCGGATAGCCGAATGGCGCCGCTGGACAAGTATAGCTCCACATACAGAGCAGCCATACATAAGAATTTCACGAAAGCAATTCTTCGAGTAAGTGCAGGACATATCCAATGTCAGCTTAATCATAATAAGTATGGAAACGAACAATAAAATGAAACGTAATACATTGGAATCACTTGTTTTCATGGAGTTCAAACTAAAAGTTCAAAACTGTGTGTGGGACAATCGATCATACCAAAAAAAGCATTAGCTTTTCAGCATAACGTTTTTAGCTCTTCGGCATAACGTTTTACAGACGACTTTCATAGAGATGTTAAGTGTGTACTTTACCCATAACCATATATAGAAATGGCGTCACTGCGAAGTGTTGGAGGATGATGTTGAAAGAGGAAGCAATCGTAACAGCGACTAATCACACTGGTGTGACTAGTTGCGTTACATACTTCAACAACTTCCTCTAGTTTACCGGATAACATGTAGCCATCTCTTCCTCAATCAATCTCACGACTTGTATATACTAGCAGCCGTGCAACAGTCATACATCAGCAACCTTTCATGACTGACACTTCTTTTCAGATGCACAAGTATTAAGAGATAGTGCGCTCCAGTTGAAAAAATGGCGCTCTAATCGAAATGACGATGGAGCGCACCTGCAACTCCTCCCAGTTCCGAGCCCTTTTACGGGCGTTCGTTCTACGGGCGTTCGTTCTAAAGGTCTTGAGTTGTTAGCAACGCTAATTGGCGCCTAGCGCCGTATGCAGAGCCAATCTGTGCACATAGCACCCTCGTTCTCATCCGGGTACACAGGAAAATTGAATTTCGATGAAATTGCGAATTCAAAATCCAGTAGCGATATGTGTCCAATTAGAGTAAAAACTAGTATTTAGGGGTTTCGAAGCACGCTGTTTCCGAATATGATAGTGGTTTTGCTCAATGCTACCATATTCAATCTCTTTGAACAAAGTTTTTGCAACTCCACTGTACTTTTAAAAAACTGGCCCTTGAAAGTCCTCGAAATATCAGTTTTTGTTTCTTGAAAAAAAAGAAGAGTAAATTTGGAAAAATAGAGCAAAACCACTAGCATATTTGGGAACAGCGTGTTTGAAAACCCCTAAATTCAATTTTTTACTACAATCGGACCTACATCGCTACTGAACTTCAAATTCAAAATTTCATCGAATTTCAGTTTCATGTGTTCCAGGATGAGGACGAGGGTGCTGCGTGCACAGACTGGATCTCATACGGCGATGATTAGACGCTAAATAGCGTCGCTGACAACTCATGACCTCTATAACTTCGCTGCAGCATGTGCTTTGGTAGATAAGTTTCGTTCCCCGGGTCGCTCTCAGTATCAGTGCCGTCTAGCAATCTAGATTTGGCATAAGGTCAGCACAGCAGCAGTTCCAGCTATCTGGCCGCCAAACAATCTTGAAGGTAGCGTCCACCTAAACTTAAGCACCCCAAACTGCAATGTTCTCTATAGACAAGCGAACGAGAAGCTCTGTATTAGTCCAGTTCCCTAACAGTGCCCATAAGTGGTGAAAATAGGCCTGCAATGCGGAAGTCGCAGTCCGAAACGCCGCTTTTCTTCCGCCTCACCTATTCAAGAATCCAGTATCGTCAAATGACTATCAGAGACGAGGCCATACCTTTATTATTAACCGCAGACTGACCGTAGATTGCCGAACACGTGCGCCACGGCTGAAGTACAACAAGAGCATGACTTGTACATTGTCGACTGGTACATACAAGCGTTTGGCCGTGCGACGCTTGCTCTCAAATTACGGCATGTGCATGCGGCCAATAACTGACTGTAATTTTCTCGCTGTTGCAAACGATGGGATTTTCGTGGGCACTAGCGCACTTGTCCATGCTAACCAAAAATATGTCCCGGAAAGGGGGAATCTCGAAGTTTTCACATTTTTGTTCTGAAAGATTAGCCCACTCAAAAATAGCCACTTATGAAGTACGTAGGAAGATGGGCTCACCACACAATGCCGTGACCTTGTAGAAATTGTAAAGCAAGTGCTTATCTACCTCACGTCCATTGACTGCATCTAATCTACATCCCTAATTGTAGCCGAAAAAACTTCAAAAGCGAAACTAACGCCAAGCGATGCCAAGAGAACGATATCTTGGAGACAAATGTACTTTCATGATGTATGCAGGCAGAATGTAAAACAAACAACAATTTATTTATAACAATCAACTTTAGAAGAAGAATCCCAAAATCTTTCCTCCGAGATGCTTCTTTCTGGCCTCCTCATGGTCCATGATACCACCAGAAGTGGTCAGGATGAGGTACCCGAATTGTCGGGAAGGAAGCAACATTGTGGTGTACTGCTCAATATCCTAAACAAATACTGACGTTATCGCTAACTCAAAACCATTTTCGGAAGTGCACCCACCTTGATCTTAATGTCGAATCGCGGAGAAATAACAGAGCATTTATTAAGTCGGCCGTTGAGATTAACAACGATTTTGCCAGCACGGTGATCATCAACAATCTCGAACTCGCCAATGTATCCGTGTTTCATCATCACAGTCAAGAATCGAACAATAACCTGAAATAATGTATCAAAAACCCTCAAATCAAAGCCTTAACGTGACTAAGCAGAATCTTTGAACCCTATGATAGAAGAAAAATATTATATCAAACTACGGTTCTATCCATCATCCTTCTGACGTAGCTGTGCTGTCTAAGCAGACCTTCTTCCCGTCAAAGCGGTTCAAAGGTCTCAGCAAAATGGACCCTTGTCAAGTTTTGGTGGACCACTTAAAAGCACCGTTCACTCTAAGTCAGGGGTCTTGAGCTTTTGGCAGCATACGAAAGCAGGGCCCCTATCAGGACAATGCCCAAGTCCCAGCGTAAAATGTCGTTTCGAGGAAACTGCTCTGAAACAACAAAGATCCATCAACGACAACGCCCTTTCTAGTAGTGCCGCCCATCCAATCGCCGTACCGGAAAACCAATCCGCGGGTTCTCTAAAAACGGGTCGGGGTTTTCGCGGATTCTCGATTTCATATTCGGAACTAGGGACATGAGAAGCCTTCGGAAGGACAAATACATGAGAGTAGAAAACCGGGTGGACCGGCCTTTACTTATACCGTAGTCCCAGTTAACTCCACGCGTTAGATCCCTCAGGTCCCGGTCAGACTTCGCTCAGAAGCGCCCAAATTTCACGAAAAGAGATTAGAGAAACTTGAGTGCTTTTCAGCGTTTTGAGCGATCTGGTCGGCACCTTAAAGGCACCGACATTCTCCTCCTGGCACCAAGGCGCCAGGAGAATGTCGGTGCCTTGGTGCCAGGAGAATGCGTGCGAAAACTCCGAGAATCCCGTTCTGGAAAACCTACAGGCCGGTTTTCCCGGTGATTGGATGGGCGCGCACAAATGGGCGGGCATGGATGGGGGTCCTCGTGCATCTTCCTATTCCGGAGCGATTTTCTCGCTTCCGAAGCGGCATTTTGCGCCGCAACCTGGGCATTGGATCAATAGGAGGCCCTACTATTATATGCTGCCAAAAGCTCACACCCTCAACTTAGCGTGGACGGTGCCTTTAAAGCATGCTCTAAAATTCCACCAATGCCACCAATTCCATTCAACGGGCCTGACTGTAAGAACTTCAAAGCAGGTTTCCAGGATCTACGGCATGTTCTCCCACCAACTTTTGATTTCATTATGAGCCCGCCTAGATTAGTGTAGATCCGACCCTTTGACGAGGGGTAGACTAATTCCGACGCTGGACAGGCATATCCCGCGCGATGTCAGTCGCCCCATAATTGAGCGCTTCGCCAAATGTTTCAAATCGACATTCGCCCGCTATAAATCCATAACATTACAACTCTAATGGATCAATAAACTACTATCTTCTGTAAATCCATATGCGATTAAAATTGACAGTTATAAATAAATGGAGGATCACCAAACGGGATGGCGATTGAAAGTGTGGGTTACACCATAGACCTAAAGGAACTCCTTGGTCCTTACTTCCGCAATTTAGACACCATACTTGATCCGCTTGATTCACTCCATCCACATCGCCACATCAGAACTAACCAACGGAAGTGGAGGAAGTGGATCAATTGGACATCCGGTTCGCTATCGGTCACTTCACTGATTTGACCAATAGCGAAGTGGATCAAGTAGTTCAAGCGAATCGCGTGGATCAAGTATGGCGCATGCCTTAAAGGAAAGCCACACTAATTATCTGATCAGAAGTATACAATACAGATTGTAAGCTATTTCATGCAAAAAGCACACAAACAAAGAATAGTAATTCTGGCATTTGACTATAATAGCCAACGTACCCTGCAGGTAATCTATTGGCAGAGACCAGCTTCCATTGGACATCAGCAATACGAATTGCAGATGAACCAAGGGTGTCTCCAAGACTGATATTAGTCCACTTCAATTTTGGAAATCAGAATGATGTTAATCCACTATAACTCCAAAAAATTATTCTCATGCATAAGTGAACTGCATATAGTCCTGAAGAGCCTTGGTCTCTTCGGACCGCGGCTCACTTCTTTTCTAAAAGAAGTGAGTTGAACAGCATATGCAGTGCCATTTTGTGAAAAATGGATACCAGCTAATCTTACCTTGGAAGCGGGTCGGATAAGGACCTGTCGTTTCCCACGCTTCTCTGCATTGTTTATGCAGTTCAAGGCATCGGCGAGGACGTTCATACGCACCATCTTCCCAAAGTTCTGAACTGAAAATAAAGTCTTTGAAGCAAGCAAAAATATGGTGCTAATACGCTACGATAAAAACGACAAAAATTTGAAGACTTAAAAACATGATGCTGAACCTCAGGCCTGAGGTTTAAAATCATGTTTTTTACTATAGGCTGTATCAACCAGCATCGGTCATGCGACGTCGCGCGTGCGGCGACGTGCGACGATGCGATCTGGCGCGCGCGAGCTCTGCCACGCGTTATGGCACGCCGCATGCGACGGTGCGTCGTCGCAAGGCCTGCTGGCGCGGGACCGATGCCGGCTGATACAGCCTATAGAGTTATCCGGTTTACGATAGGCATCAAAGGGATTGTTGAGAACGTGCCGATTCCCTTCCAAATCCGCCCAAATACGTCCGAACCCGCCCAAATACGCCTAAATACGTCCAATCGCCCAAACCCGCCCGAATACGTTTGAATACGCCCGAACCTGCCTGAACGCCGGAACTGCCAAAGCGCAAGAGATATGCGTGCAAATTGCCATATTGGAACACGCCTGGAAATACTGGGCTCGTGGTGCATGTATCTATCTTAGTTAGACGTAGTTCGACGCGTATCTGGCGCTTTGGCAGTTCCGGCGTTCAGGCGTGTTCGGACGTATTCGGATTCGGACGTATTCAGGCGAATTTGGGCGTCGGACGTAGTCGGGCGGATTCGGGCCGACTCGGATGGGTACTGGAGCGGTCTGAACGATTCCTAAGGCACCGACCAGACTTCACCCAAAGCGCTCAAATTTTTTATCTCTCTTCTCATTTCTCTCTCTCCACCCAGGTCCCGCCCTAGTGTGCGCTTCGGGTTAGCGCGGAACGTGTGTGAGGACAAATGAGAGAAATGTGTGGAGGGACTAGAGAAATTTGCCTTTTGGGCTCTTTCAAACGATCTGGTCGGTGCCTAAGGGGCCAAGACCACTGGATTTGGTTTCCTGACTATTTGAACGCTCTTCAAAAATACGGCATCCACCAAGTAAGCGCTAAAGTTAGAACTCTCCCTGTCAGCAGGTTATTTTGAACCACCGTACTCTACAGCGACCTCATAAAAGAGACACTTCATTCCGAAATAAGTATTACTTTTAGGCAAAAAATATCTCACTTTCAAAATTTTAGCAAGGTCTGAACGATCTCTTCAAATTGTGAGTTATCAATTGTGGATGAGCGCAGAAGTTGTATCTTAGACTTTTTCAAACTTGAATGATCTCAACTCTTTGTGCATAGCCCCAGCCCAAAAAGATTAACAAAGAGAAATGACTGCTATGGCACTATCACGAACAAAACGACTTAGAGACAAGAAACTAAAACTATCTACAAGAAGCCCTTTTTAGGCTTCTAAGTTAGCAATCAGACCCATTTTCAGAAAGAGAAGTCCACCATCATTATCCAATTAGACTTAAGAAACTTAAAAAACAGCCTCATTCCGTAATAAAACAAGTAAACTTGCAAACAATCATGAGTGCCGAAAAAAAAAGAATGAAGAATGCGCGAACAAAATTTCGCCCAACTTTCATTGCGTAAATTTTGAAGCGAAGAACAGATACTCAGTCAAATCGATGGAGCAGAAATCCCGATCGGAGCGCGAAAACTATTTGTGAAATTTTTCTGCTCATTGTGCGTTGTTTCGTAAGTTTCTTTGTTGAACAATATTCATCTTCAGTTGCTGTTTGCAGTTTCAAAGAATTTTGGCACTTATAATGGAGCGCTACAATTTTTCGTATTACTGTGTAAGTTAGTGCTTTAATGTATCGTTCATCTTTGATATTTTCTTTACTTTTGGATTCATTTCAAATGACATGAGTTAAAGAAACCTTATTTTGTTATTCTTCATCGGGTTGTTAATGTGCTGTGGACTAGATATTCCTAAAACTTTTATGGTTTTCAGTTCAGCGTCTTTTTTTTTTCGAGTTTATGCTCGCACATGCTTTCTTCGCTTCACCGCATGGTTTTGCGAAATCATGTTTAATTCTAAAAACTATATTCATGCCACGCTTTAACGTGGCTTTCTTTGTTCAAAAGCTGAGACTTTTTGTAGCTGAAAAATTGCGACATTTTTCCTTTCTTCATGTCTTGTTCCTCTTGGATATCAGTTTTTTTTTCGTTCATTTCCGCGCCACAGTTCTATTTCTCGTGGTATGTTTGGCCGCAAGAAAGCTCAAATGGTATGTCAAAGTCCACAACTTTTGTTCACGCTTAGCATTTCAAAGACTTGGGGATGTGCTTCCACTTTCAAGTTTTTTTTTCCCCCAGGAAGTGCTAACATTTCTACCGCCCATTATCTCTCTTTGTTAATCTTTCAAGGTTAGAACCACACGTTCCTCCTGTACTTTTTCTTATTGTATTCAAGTTATGGCCTACGAACTTATACGTTGTAGCATTCTTTAGGGAACGGGTATAGTCGTCCTCACCCCACTAGTCGGTCGGTCGAATTTGGATTCGAACTGGAGCAGGCCGACCGCGGCAGAGCGCGGCAGACCGCCCGTCAGGCAACTGCTTGTAAGTGAGCTTTTCCCTTATTTTCTTCGTGTTTCTTTGCTATCTCTCGTATTGCGGCAGTGTTCTTAATCAGATTTTCAGATTTGTGCCGCTAACTCTTCAAAACAAACACTTTTTGAGAAAATTTCAGCCCTATCGCAAAAAAAAAAAATAGTTTGGAGTACACATTCCAACGAAAACTTGACACAGTTCATCAAATCACATTTGTGTATATGTCACTTACCGGAAAAGAGATTTCTCATCCAAAAATCTCCAACCGCATTCTTCTTCCCGGTTTACCTGGAAAAAAATCAGAACAAACGAGCACAACTGCACAAAACAGTAGTTAGCGGTATGAAATATAAAAATCTGATTAAGAACATTGCCGCAATACGAGAGATAGCAGAGAAACGCGAAGAAATTAAGAGAAAAGCTCATGTGCAAGCGGTTGCCTGAGGGACGGTCTGCCGCGCTCCGCCGCGGCCGGCCTGCTCCAGTTCGAATTCAAATTCGGCCACCGACCGACTATTGGGGTGAGGACGACTATAGAGGGTTGTCGGCAGGGTAAAGCGGGGGGTGCGGCACGCCGCAGAGGGGGGGGGGGGTCGTATTGAGGAGTCAAAAGGGGAGGGGGTCGTAGTTAGGTGATCTGATTATAGCGATAACATGATATTCGTATCATATCCATAATTAGCAAGTCAATTAACCCCTGTAGACAAAGTGTGAGCGAATTCTGAAGATTCAAGATACTAGGCTACCTAAGTGAAATGGTCAAATTCCAACATGGTTAACTTTGTTTTAAAGGTGAATTAGCTATCCGTTTTTGCACTCAAGACAAAGCACTACTCCTTCTTTGTCCACCTCAGGAATCCCGCTTCAGAAGACCTCCAAACTGTGGAATTAGAAGCCAACCAAAATCTAATTTTTTCCATTTTTCGCTTTTGATGGCTGTGCTTTCACCAAATATTACTCAGAGCTAAGAAGACGAATCAGGCTCAAAACATCCCTATGGAATCTACGAGGTTTAGGCTATCGATTCATATAAATATTGTCCGCTAAAAATGTTTTTTTGATATAGTTAATGGCCTGCGGCACCCCCCCTCAAAACCTGCGGCTGCCGCAGGGGTGCCGCAGGGGTGCCGCAGGCCATTAACTATATCAAAAAAACATTTTTAGCGGACAATATTTATATGAATCGATAGCCAAAACCTCGTAGATTCCATAGGGATGTTTTGAGCCTGATTCGTCTTCTTAGCTCTGAGTAATATTTGGTGAAAGCACAGCCATCAAAAGCGAAAAATGGGAAAAATGAGATTTTGGTTGGCTTCTAATTCCACAGTTTGGAGGTCTTCTGAAGCGGGATTCCTGAGGTGGACAAAGAAGGAGTAGTGCTTTGTCTTGAGTGCAAAAACGGATAGCTAATTCACCTTTAAAACAAAGTTAACCATGTTGGAATTTGACCATTTCACTTAGGTAGCCTAGTATCTTGAATCTTCAGAATTCGCTCACACTTTGTCTACAGGGGGTATTTGACATGCTAATTATGGATATGTTGTCCATTATGTTTGACAGAGCCTTCAGGTAATACTATCTTAAGTGTATAGTTTAGGAGGGGGGTCTTATTAAGACAGCAATCAGGGGGGGGGGTCGTATCCGACGGTCGAGTGCCGCACCCCCCGCTTTACCCTGGTTGTCGGTATTGTCAGTGTTGTCGGGGTTGCCGGCGTGTCGAGGTTGCCGAGGTTGCCGGTCGTGGACCTCATGATAGCCTCGACGTTTCGCGCGCTCTCACTGTCTCTGATGCCGACAATCCCGACAACACTGACAACACCGACAGCCGTTGCTGGCAACCTATGGCCGTTCCCTTAGTTGTTGAATACCTAAATTCTCTGAACTTATCGATTCACAATACTCGAAATAGGTAAGCAGTCACCTTTACAAGGGCACCCTTTTTTGATATCAGCTTCATGTTTTTTATGCGAATACTGTAAGAGCTCGACGAGTTCATGTATTTTTGTGGAGTGTTCTAGAGAAATAGTCGCCTTAATTTCAGTCAAAGCCTTTCTCTGAACGTGAAAACTTGCGAATAATCGTTAATACGCGACGTTGTCAGACGCAGTAACTAGTTAAAACGCATACTTCCAATTCCGGCTACTGAGAGAGATTCTAGGATTTTTGAAGAACTTCGGGATATAATAAGAATTTCGCTCTGTGATGGACCATCAGCACTGAAGGTTTTCGAGATTTGATGATTCTGAGAAGTGGGAATCTCGAATGCACCTCGGGGACCCGTTTTGCCGAAAAACTCAAAAGCGCTGAAAAAGCCCGAAAGCACCAGAAAGAGCCGGAACGCTCTGGAAGTTTTGGTAGAATTCTGACATTTTTGATGCAGACGATAGAAAATAAAACAAAATGACTCAATTGCGCGACACATGCCTTAGCGCCAAAACTTGCGCGCACGAGGGGGACATCCCGCTCATTTTGGCGCTTTTCGGTTCTTTTAAGCTTTCTCGGGTTTTTGGGCGCTTTTGGGTTTTTCTCGGTGATAATGACCGCTCCCTCAGTGAATGTCTCTACATGCGTCACCACATACGAGAGGCTTTGAGAGACGAAGAGTTTGAAGATATGAGACGGACAGAATTGAAATTTGTTCATTAAGAATCATCACTGAACGAAACAGAGCAGTTGTCGTTGCAATATAACGGAAATATGTCTCGGTTTGGCGATCTTTCGCTATTCTGCATCGTATCTAGTGTCACTGTCTCCCAGGCATAAAAATTCATTGAAATTTGAAGCAACCAAAACAGATTCTGACTTGTTACTGTGAGACGATTTAGCGGTAACTATATCTTGCTTATCATTATAGCCTTTCGATTTTACTATAGGATTCGAATCAGTCATAGGTCTCGGGCAGAGTTCACGCGACTTCATCGACGCGATTGATCGCGACAAGACAACTGTAACAATATCATTGCATGCTGATCTTCTTGCATTTCAGTTATGATAGTTTTCCAACACGACTAATTGTGACTAACTATCACAACCGAAATATATACAAGAAGATCGGTATGCAATGAACTTGTAGGTTGTTTGTAAGATCGTGACGACGGATTTGACCGCGGTCTTTGCGCCCACAGGAGCAGAAAACGGGAGACACGCGGAAGGCGAAAATCGGCGCAAAATGGAGGCAGTGTATCATCCGTCTCAATGACTTTCACGGATTTCTACTTGTGGCATCGAATAATGTATCTGCCCCCACTCCCCACCCCGTAGTCCCCCGCCGTGTCACTTTGACACCGGAAAGTTCCATAGGCACAAAATGGGGGATTGTCGCCTTCCGCACCACACCCGCAGGAAACACTCATACAAAACGGTATCACCTCATCTCTTAGCTCAGTCTCTTTCAATGCCTAAATACTGTCATTTGTAAGCAGAAAAATCATCCGAGCAGAGATGGAAACTCAGAAATCCAATTGCCGAGAGGTGCCTGCGTGTCGCGCGCGGTTGCGCCATCGTCACGACTTTTTGAGTGCCCTATAAGGGATCGTTCAGACCGCGCACAAAGGCGGACGAAGGCGCAAGAAGGCGCGTCTCGTCTCGTCTCGTTTCTCTCGACACACACTCACACGCGCCTTTGTGCGGCTTCGTCCGCCTTTGTGCGCCTTCGTCCGCCTTTGTGCGCGGTCTGAACGATCCCTAACACCGGGTAGAGGACATTAGGTAGGCGCCAGACTAAGCGACTATTTTGTTCAGCTGCAAAAGGCGCGCGGAATTTATGTCTGCTGCATAATGTCTGCTGCTGCTGAGGCCTGTTTCAGCTGCAGGTCCCGGGCAGAATTAACATTAATTTTGTGCGCCTTTTACAGCTGAACAAAATACTCGTTTGGTAGGTGCCAGAGTAAGCGCACATTTTGTTCAGGTTGGGGTCCCGCGCAGAACTGACCTCACTTGGATTGACGCCAGCATTGTGAGAGACATCAATTCTGGGGACCCCAACCTGAACAAAATATTCGCTTACTCTGGCACCTACCTTTAGTCTGGCACTTATGGCTGCGTTCATACTGATCCCGAAGTCTGAAACAGTTCCAGCACAGCGCTCAATTTGAACAATGTACTGGAACTGTCCCCGAACTTCGGGATCAGTATGAACGCAGCCTATAGGTGCCAGACTAAACGAGTATTTTCTCCCCTTTCGGCGACCTGAAGTATACCTTAGGTCGCCGAAAGGGGAGGTCCCGCGCGGATATCTGCAACAAATCTTGCGCCTTCACATTACTGCCTCATGCTGGTTGTCGGTGTAGGTGGAGCCTATCGGCAACCTAATGTCCTCCACCCCATAACACCTTCTTGTAGCGATATCGCGACGATGGAATCGCGTGATCCCTGCCCGAGGCCATAAAATGAATGATTTTTTTCTCGTTAAATTTTGAGTCTCAATCATACTAATTAGCAGTTCTACAAAGAGGCCACTCTTTTGTGCATGATGTTTTGCTGATTTCTTTTGTATGCGTCATTCTCTTGATGCTTCTCTCATCTCCATCTCCAATATATTTCTTATGATTTGCATCTTTCTCTGCAAGTATGACATATCCGGCCATAAGGATCATTGTAAAAGTGTTGCGATGAGCCCTGAAAGGGAGGGGAGAGGTTAATCTCTAGCTAATTCTTCGGCAATCACCACAGGGGTGGGGGTGGGGGGGGGGGGGTTGAAGACTTGAAGCGCTGGACTGGCAAACTTGTAACTGCCAAATCTGGGAAGCTTCTTTAGCATAAGGTTGGCTCATAGATTGTAGACATTTATCGGAAACGTACTGTGGTTTTGATCGACCTTGTACTCAGACAATCGCTGGGGGCAGGCGGGCACCGGAAAAATAGATTGCTGATTTCTCGCACCCCGCTCGCGGATTTTTTGCAAAGCAATCAGGAGTTTTCGGAAGACCGCTCGCTGAGTCAGCGGATTTTTAAGAGACCGCCTGTTGAATTTTTTTCGCTCTTATCTTTTGCAGATATATTGCTGAATCTCTGAGGAATCGAGAACTCAGCAAGCGGCCTTCCGAAAAGTCCTAATTGCTTTCCAAAAAATCCCCGAGCGGGGTGCGAGAGATCAGCAATTTATTTTTCCGGTGCCCGCCTGCCCCCGGCGATTGTCTGAGTAGCTGACTGCCATTTTCGGGATATACTTGAGAACAATTTGTTCTGTTCAGCTTGACATTGAGAACCAACACATGAAATGGTTGCGAGTATTAGTTGACAAACTCAAGAACTTGAGCTCCATAATTATCTTCACCTACCACAGTGTATGAAGCAGGCTTCATAGCAAATCATATACAGTCTGCTCCAATCGGGATCAGGCCGAACCGTCGGCTTGAATTTGCGCGCTCCAGCGCTAGCGGTCTGCGCTGCATACGCGCGCTGTCGGAGAAAGCACAGGGATTGAAGAGAGAGCAGAGAAGGACGCCGTGAGCGTGACCGCGAAACCCTAGCGACGCGGACTCTCGCCATGCCAATTTTGGCCTGGTTAGGATTGGGGCAGACTGTATGCGCACCGGTTCAGAAAAGGCGCACTAAGTGACGGGCTTTTGGAATTTGGTATTGCGTAAGGGCGAAACTAAACTCAGCGGTTTTAATGTCAGCGAACAACATCTTCCTCTTTTCCGCGAGTCCGGAAACTGGTATTCACTTGTTATCGTTTGGCTGGCCGTTATTATTTGTTGTGATCTATGACATTCCCGAATCTACGCAACAGCAATGTAAAGGTCCCATCATTTAGTACGCCGCATTTGCTTGAAAGATTCACACTTAAGTATGGCCTGGTTAAGCTTTTTCATAGAATCTTTCCTTATCAAACATAAACATTCTGACAAGCGCGGCTTAGCATGTTAGCAGAACATTCTTTTTGTTTTTTATTTATTAGGTTCTCTCACAATATTTTCGTAAATTAACCTCAAAATTGACATTCTTCTAAAGAACTTTGGAATTCTGCCCATTATTCTTCTTCTTGATTTCTAGCCATCAAAAAATACAGCAATCATTCATGGATGTCTTACAGCAAGTTTTTAAGGTTCTTATTTAAGTAGTATTTGCGTGAATGAGTGGGGATTTCACAAAAATTCAAACGAAAACAACACTTTCCTAATATCATAGGTATTCAGTTTGCTAGATTTTGGCTCAATTTATTTGGGTCAAACTTTATGGAAAGTTCAAATCCCATCTTGTCAAGCTCGCTTTGCTCTATTGAATGATACAAAGTTACTGAGAACATAGCAAGGTCTTGAGAACATAGCAAGGTCTATAAAGTCACTGAGAACATAGCAATGACTTATAACAGTACGAAAATATAGATTTAAAAAATCTGTGATACAACATATTAGAGCAAATCCATTTCGTGGCCTCAAACTCCTGTCCAAAGTTTCTTAATCCTGATGTTTATCCAGTAGTGTTGCACGCAAATTACCGTTGGAGTTGGTTCTTTAGTAAGTCATTAATAGCCAAAATTATTTTTGCATTAATCATTATTCTCACACAAAACAAACTGTATAGATCTAATTTTCAAGGTCAAACGCTTTTGATCGATTTCTGCACCATCTCCTTCGAAAAAAAAACTTGTAAACCTCAACATCCTAGCCCTGTTTTCACTCTGTATATACATCACAAATGTTCAAATCTTCATTTCTTCTTGAATATGCAATGTTTGATCCCGTTAACTGTGGCAAACAAATAGAACAAGAGGCGACCGGCGTTGACAAAAGCATCACTATATGTTATAAGTTATATTATCAGCACAGAATGATAATCAAAGTCAAGTCAGATGAAATCACTACTATCACCGTGTGAAAAGAATTTAATGAAAATAATCTCAAATTGTTTGATGTGCATTAAAAGCTCCTTTCAATTCAGGAAAAACACAAAGGAAGAATAACACTAGTGTTAGGAAAATCATTTTTGGATACAGTTGATTTTGACACAGTTGAGAATAAGAAGATGTTTTCACCGCAAACATCGAATAAGGATATGCACTAATCTCTTAAAAGTTATGAATAGTCTAGTCAGCTAATCACACTCGCATCAGGACAAAGTTTTGTTAATGCTTTTTGATATCTTATTTAAGTTTAGTTCTGCGTTTAGAGTTGCCCATGTGCCGGTGCCGTGCCAGCGCCGTGCCAGAACCCACAAGCGCGCTGCTTATTATCGATCGCGCCAGCGAAATTCATGACGCCAATACGGCGCTGCGCGGGCAGCTCTAAATGCAGCCTGATTCAAGGTGGAAAGGGGGAGGATAGTATGTAAGCGAAATAAAGTTCGAAAAAATATACATTGGAGAAAGACCACAGATGCTACACATGCACAGCATCAACTCACTACTAATATACACGGCTTAGACGATTGAATACAGTCAGTTTGATAAATTCAAAAATCATACTACTTCACACTAGATCCGCATAAACACCTCGCATATGCTAATTTGATTTATGTAAGAGGTTTTACAACCTTTTGTATCATGTTATTTAGTAGATTTGTAGAGGAATTTGTATTGTGACTAGAAGGTTCCTCATGGTAGAAGCAAATGTACGAGTCGCTCAGCAATCGTGTTACCAATGGATCCACATCGCTACCTTTGCCAAGCATTGTCTAAATAGCGAATTCTCAGGTTTTCATGTTGACGAGGTCAAATTTTTAACTTACCTTCATGGTTCCCGCTTCGTCGGCATCTCGTAGTCGTTCCCAACCAGCCTGTGACAACCAGAACGACATCTTGTCACAGTCTTTGACCTAAACAGTCATGATTTTTAAAGCACTGCAAGCATAAGAAAGCACAATATGTACAAATCAGCGGTCCAATTTGAACTTATTGAGATTTCAAGCTGGCTTAGCATGACGTATCTTCATATTTCAAACCCTCTAAAATTTCTGTCTCAATCAAAACTGACGTTCGCATCTTTTGCCTAACTATAGCACCATATCCTGCCTAATGGGGTTTATATAATGCTGCAACCGCCATTGCAGTCGGACGGTCACAGAAATATGGGCGTGGTCTGGCGTATGACCCCGCTTCATCCACTTATTGGTCGAATCACTTATTTGACCAATCAGCGGCTGAGTAGCCAATCGGTAAGTCTGGCGCCTACCACATTGTCTGTGATTCGTTAGACTGCAGGCGGTGGCCGTAAGTTCGACGCTTCTGGCATAGGATAAAGACGTGGTTGTAGAGATGATTCGGGGAGTTTTTTCTTTTTCCTATCCATTTCATTACAGGTTTTTCTTTCACTTTAGTATCACATCACATTTAGCTACTTTTTCAGTTTCTTGGCTGTTTAGGGCTGTCCTTTTTCGTTTATGTTTTTATTAGTGGCATTCATCAGTTTTCTATGAAATTCTCTTTCAGACCAGCATGGATCCATTTGACACTGGAACGATGACAGCCGAAGCTATAGCTGAAACGGCAGCGGCCGTCGCAGCGGCTACAACAGCTGCCGCGGCGGCCGAGGCAGCAGCTGAGGCGGCTGCCGAAGCGTCAGCAGAAGCAGCAGCAAATGCAGCTGCGACAGAAGCTGCAGCCCCGGTGCCAAAACCGCATCCTGCTCCTCTAACACTTCAAGACTTCATCGATGATGGCGATGTGACGGAAATCCCGACAATTCAGGTTGGTTTTGTCTAATTTAATATTTGGTGGTATTTTCACTAATCCTTTTAGAGCAACCGGAAGAGCAACACCCTTCCAATTTGGGGTAATCAGCAAACAATGAACCTGAATGGTCTAGTGTTAGAAAATGTAAAGGAAAGCTACTATTACAAAAATCATTTGGTTGAAATCGATACCGCACAACAATTACTAGATGAGGTTTTCTACAAGGTTCGCATTCTTTCTCTTGCCATGAGAAACAATCTATTCCTATTTGTCTCCAGGTCAAACATCTCGAACCATGGGAGAAGGGAACGCGAAAAGTGCAAGGAATGACGGGAATGTGTGGAGGAGTAAGATTAGTAACATCTTTACCATCATTCATAATTTTAGACTATTCAGGTTCGAGGTGTCGGAGCTGGAGGTGTTGTTAGTTCTGCTTTTTGTCTGCTTTATCGATTTTTCAAGGTTCGCCTCACAAGGTAAGAAGCTTTTATCACCTTGTTTCTTTTCGGTTTGTTTATTCAATTTTTATTTCAGAAAACAACTGATTTCAATGATCAACAGTCGGGTTTCACCATATATACGAGGGCTAGGCTTCATGTACATTCGCTATACCCAGCCACCAGCAGATCTGTGGGAATGGTTCGAGCCATATCTGGTAGGTGAAACAATCAGCTCAACCAGCAATAGTCACTTTAGTTCTTTTGACTCTTTAGGACGATGAAGAAGAGATCGACCCAAGATCTGGTGGTGGAGATATTATGACTTTCGGGCAAGTTGTTCGAATCATGCTTACCAAGCTGGACTGGTATGGTACCCTATTTCCAAGAATTCCAGTTCCCATACAGGTTAGTTCAACTTTGCCCTGCTTTGAATGAATTCCGAGTATCTTGTTTACTTTTAGAAAGAAATTGACGAAAAATTTGCGGAACGGAAGCGAGCTCTCTTGTTTGGCGACGGACACCTCGATTATCGTGAACGGGACGAAGATCGGTGAGTCAAAAGGCACGTGTTTCTGTCATTTCTGTCGGATCTCAACCTTCATTTCGTCGTAGAAAAGGGCCCCTTTCCCTCCTTCTCCCTCTCCGTCATTCGGATATTCTTTTTAGCTATCGACGATCTCGCTCCCCAGGAGACCGTAAACGCCCTAGCAGTCACGAACGTCATCATGATGAGAAACGCCCACGGCCTACACGATGTGGCCATCATTTAAGGCACCATCATTGCACCAAACATCGCAAGAAGTGCCCAGAAAAGGCAAAACGGTGAGAAAATTGCGTCATATATGCTATGTTTTCCGAAGAAATAGCTATTTTCAGAGCGCGCCAAGAAGCTGAAGAAAAAGCTGCAGAAGAGGCGAAGAAGAATGAGAAGAATGAAGGAAGTAAGGATAAGAGCAGCAAGAAAGAAACAGAAAATACTACGCCAAAAATTTAGATGTTAGTGACCTCATCCTTCGCGTTTTATGTGTGAAATAAATCAAACGGTTCATGGGTTCTATCTGTCTCAGTCTTCTGTTTTAGTTCTCATTTTCCTGGTTGGAATAAATCGTAATCATTATTCTTTCTAAAAACGCAAAAGAAAGTTGCATTCTTTGTATTTTACTAGTGAACCAGTAATCTTAAGGTGCTACTTACACGAGTGTTCGCTTCAGGACAGCGCCGCAGTTTCCCGCTATTTGATGATTTTTGATTTGACGTTATGATTCTTTATATATTAGAAACTGTCAGACAATCGAAATAGAACCGACAGACAATCGAAACATCCAACTACTCGTTACATTAATTCATTGGAATTTTTGGTGCTCATCAGCTCTAATTTCGTGTATTTTGACTTTCGACTTTTACAACACCGACCACTGATTTCTACAGTCTTACTAGAGATCCTAGAAGAACAAAATGGGCTAATTCTCACATACGCTCTTGAAACTGAACCCATTACGAGCACCCGTCTTTACACAAAAGCACTTTTGTCTAGACTTTATATTTGGCGCGCCTCATTAGGCGCATGAAAAAGAGCTCGACGCTCAACAAGAAGTTGATTCACATCCTCAGCGTTCAAGCCGCATATTACTCGTCTGGCTAAAATCAATGAGTCCAAATAAAGAAGTTTAAGAAGAAGCTCGTGCCTAAGGAAAAGCTGTTTGTTTACCTGTGGCACATTGAAACCATCGCTGAGGCCTTCTCGATCTGCCATCGAGTCAAAGAACAGCCACCGTCCGGATAGAGAACGCACAAATGCAACGTAATGTGACGTTTCAATGCATAACACTGCCGACAACACCTGCAATTATGAAATCTACAAAACTTCGAAACCTTCAATGCTGAACCATAAAAAATTTGAATCCAGCGAGTACGAATGTGAATAATCAAAAAAAATCCCACTTACCATTCGATGACAAGAAGGCTTCTTCACGGGACGACCGCTCGGATAGAATAGCCGTACGACGTGATCTTGCTCATTAGCGTTTGAGTGAACGCGATTCGAGCAAGGCACGCAGTAAGACACCTGCAAGATTGTAATGAGCTCGGATACCAACAGAAAAGAAATGGCAGGAACAAGAATATCGAAAATGAGAAAAGAAAAGTCTCAGCAAATTGACGATAAAATATACCTCAGGAAGGGTCACCCTCTTGCACAAAAAGCACTCGGGACACATCACTTCTGCCGGTTTACTACATGCATGACAAGCTTGGACAGCTGAAACAGTAAATGATCGACCCAATAGAAAAAATGGAGTAAATGAATAAAATACAATGTTAACACATTGACGACCATGCAGATTTTTAGTTGTCTGCCTTCTGGGACCAAGGCCTTTTACGGACCAGCCCACATTTTTTAACTATAATTACGCATGCTGCCATCTACTGTATAACAGTAGTTCTGAAAGCCTGATAAAAAAGGTAGAGGTTACCACTAGATTCAGTATAAAAGAAAGGTCATGGAGTGAGTTATGCAGAATAATAGTCATTTTAATAAAATTCAGGTCTTGACACACATGGTGTGTCAAGCGGTCCCACGCGGTAGTCATTGCTTGACACACCATGTGCGTCAAGCGGTCGCCAATGTGTTAAGAAAAAAAAGGAGTAAGTTGCCTACAAATTATCAAAGCGACTCACCGTTATTCACTAATCCAGTGATTTCTATACGTTCTAATGGAAGAATCTTGTCAAAAAGCTTTTGTTGGCCATATCGAGGAAGCTGGAAAAGAAAAAAATATGCGCCTAGTTCAAGCGATGCGGCTGATTGATGCTGAGGCAAAATCAAAATCAATAAACATGATCTCAGATTTTTCTGCCATAGCGTCACTCAGTCTAGTAAGTATACGTTCATTATCTTGAGTAGTGTTGACTTTGAAAAAAATAGCACTCTGCTCCAAGAATGGTCTGAAGTAGCGAAAGCATACCTGTAAGATCAAAGTTTTCGGTGGATACGCAAACTTCACATTCGCAGAACGCATAGATCGTTCTAGTAAATGCTGTGTGGTCGCAACGCCAGCCGTCCAATCATCCACAATTAACGGGCAGAGATATGTACGATCCAATTTGTTATCTTTTAGGTTACTAAAAAGACGCTCTTTACAGACAGATACCAGCAAAGGCGCAAAATCTCAAAATATAAAACTTACATCAATTCTACTAGAGGTGGTGCTTTCAAAAGTTGGCCAAACAATGCGGTTAGTACTTCTTCCGGATCTTTCTCTTCACTTGTGAGCCCTCTCATTTGAGGCAACGCTTTCGCAAGTAATTCTCGAACTTTCATTATATGGTCCGCTCGGACATAATGAAACCTCAAATAAAAAAGGATAGTGGAAAAACCTATAATGAAACCTCAGATAAAAAAGGATAGTGGAAAAACCTATAATGAAACCTCAAATAAAAAAGGATAATGGAAAAAAACTTATCATACAGTAAAGAGGACTCACTTTCTCAATGGATACACAACTTCCGTTGCCAATAATCTTTGTAGTTCCTTGTACTGCGGGATATCATCTCGATTTGGTGGTCGATCAAGTAACCTGAACAAGAAGATAATTTTACCCAGAGCGGCAGTCTTACGATGACTATCGGTAACAAAAAGGATTGGAAATTTACAGCTTCAATTTTTCTCTAAACATACTGAATGAAATCCAAATTTTGAACGAAATTACAGACAGATAAGGAGTGCCGGGATGAAATAAAATACTTAAATACAGCATGCAGTATAATTTGTAACGCAGATTCTATAAGATTATGATGCGGAAACAGCCATAAAACTTGCAAATTTGACATCTCAGATTGTAAAATCAAGTGATGACTAAAATAAATGAACATGTTTGATAGAACAGCAACAACGTTTACATATAAAAAAGGAAAACGAGTTCTTTGCAAAAGAATAAAACAACCAAGATCCCTCGAAAACAAGAAAATCGATAGAATGGCAGATGAGAAAGAAGCTTAGAGCTCACCTGTCGAAAGCTGTGCTTTGCACAAACATTGCATAAAGCGTCGAATCGAGGTAGCAGCTGTTTCTGTGCCCTTGTATGCCTTTCATTCGTCCCACCAGATCGTCAGTGACACGCCATGGATCACATTTTGCCGGTTCCACACCGCTATCAATACTTCCGAAGTCCGTTCGCGCTAAATTCACATTTATCAGGGACCGCAAATAACAAAGAAGGGTATGATTGAGAAAACCTATTGCTACCGCATTGGGAAATGCAACCATGTGAGAACAGCTGTGACGCTAGTGTGCAAGAACTGATAAGAAAACGAAACGAGAACAAACGCTATGAGAAACCTTGATTGGGCGAGCCTTTGTTATCGACCGAGCCACCGTGATCGACCCGACGATCCCGGCGTAGAGCCGAAGTTGGCACTAATACTCCATTTACGACACCGGCTGCGCTAGACATGGGAGCTTCATAGGCTGGCCGCCATCCTGACGGGGATACGTCGTCCTAGAAATGGAAACATGAGAAATCTCAAGATTTCCAGTAGCATCGAATTTGAGAGCTGTACATTTAAAAACCCTCCCATTTGCATGTGGAGAAGAAATTTCTGGAAAACTACTTCGACATTAAAATAGCTCATCTCATCATTGCGAAAAAAGAAGCAAAAAGATTGCTCCACTGACTGCAAACAGCCTGGGTTCGTAATACGCGCAAAGAAAAGCCAAGTAAACATAACGAAAAAGGTGATTTGATGCTGAGCGAATAAAAAATTATAATTCACAGAAGTAACTGATCAACCGTAAAAAGCCGAGAAATTAAATTCCAGAATTAGAGAATTACAGGAACGACAGCGCTACTATGTATCAAGTAACTGACCAGTTCAACTACTGCGCTTCGTTCTATGTGATCATGATCGTCACTCATTGCGTCGCCAATCCAACGTATGACACCGGATCGACAGGCACCGAGATGACATACTTCCACGCAACTACCTAAAAAAAGTGCTTGCACACTAGTTTCTAGTGGTAAAGGCGAAGAATTGACACATAGAGGGTGGGAAAACAGTGAAACTCTAACACCGCATTCTGAACCACAAAATCGATTAAGAAAAAAAATTGGGAGTAAAAGCTTTGAAATATAAAAGAAAATGTGAGAATAAACGACTAAACTCACCAACAGTGAACGAATCAATCATGTAGTCTTCAGCTCTCATTATAGGCCGTGGTGGAACAGGGGGTGATGGCATATCACGAAGCGATTCTGCTGATGCCTAGAACAGGAACAGAATAGACAAGACCTAAGAAGATGGAATGCTATTTTGAAACAGCAGAGATAAGCAACCAATCAATCACCTGTTTCTGTACCATGGAAATATGACGATTGGAAGCATTTCCAGTGTTCAGTGAACGTGGGATGATTTCAAGCGCGGAAAGCAGCACAAAGCCGGCATGGTTCTCCGGCGTTTGGAAGAGAACTTCACCTTGGAATACTCCGGTACCTTTGCCAACTTTTTCATCCTAAATAAATAATCTGTTCGTCAAGACTAAGCGATTAAGAAAATCAGTGGTGTGTCCGCCCTTGCTAGATACCAAAATTGATCTTTACAGCTTCTAAAGCTAACAATCAAGAAACAGAAATGTGCGAACGGCTCACAGTCGCGTTTTGAGCCGTGTCTGGCTGGGTTCTTACTGATCCGTAAGCTCCAGGACAGTTCCAGCACAGTGTTAGAATTGTGCGCTGTGCTGGAACTGTTCCGGAACTTTCGGATCAAAATGAATCCACCTTTAGTGGAGGAACTATGGAAATTACATCTGCACAGCGCCTATTTGACGACTTGTCTTCATTTTTGGAAAGAAATCAAACTCTCCAGAATCGGGGCTTTGAGGAATACGTCAGAGATCGAAGTCAGCAAGCTAATTAGGGTCATGTTTGCAAGGATGGAAGAAAAGCTCTATAGACTGATGAAAACAAAAACAAATTTGGATAAATCATGGGAATAAAAGAAAAAACCATGTACTCACAAAATCAACGCCAGCATAAAGATTGCTATGCCCCTTCAAGTGTCCAATGAACTTTATCGTTCCTTTGTGATGCACTCCATCCGAAACCCATACGCAACGATCACCAACCATTGCTCCTCCAGTGCTCACAGGATCGTCAACTCTAGAATATAGAGTGTAGCTCAAGTTTCCCATGAAAAAAACAATCCCATTCCCACCTGAAGGTCCTCTCATGAACAGCTACCGCATGAGAACTCTGGCTTCTTGCCGGTGCTTGAAGTGGTCGGCTTCGATGTCGTGTCTCTCGATCTCTAATTTCTCGTTCTCGAAAATGATTTGGTTCCACTTCATCGTAGGCATCGATGAAGTCTGGTTTTCGCCTTCTATCGTATCGCGAATCATCATTCCAGGATATGAGTTGTTCATTGCCATAGCTGAAACACAAAATGTGGATTTCGAAATCTAGTTCTCGTTGTGAAAAGATTTATGGCTGAATCCTCTATTTAAATGAAAATACTGACGTTTCCGAGGCGGTTGATGCAGTACCACGTCGCGGAGCATCATATGTATCGATGCGACGAATCGGTATGACACGAGGTTCACTATTCATTGCTACCCTGAAAGATGAAAATACGCACAATTCATAAAAAAAAATGAAGCGAAGAAAATAAGATCAAATGATGGCAATATATAGTATTTGCAGACCGGATCAGACTAAATTGTCATAAAATCGATTTAGGCACTTGGACGATTTGATCTTTCTGCACAAAACATATTCGTATCACCTACTAAATCTCAAAAAAGTAAACCAATAGCGTCGCAATGGACCAGATTGTGCTTCTGTAACCGTGATGCACCTCATATGGACATAAAATTCGAATCAATCCTCAATATAGAAAAACTCGAAGTTTTTCTTTAATGAGCCTAGCAACAAAATTTAAATTTAAAAAAGACTTTTAAAACAGTGACACATATGCCCTAATTCATGAATTGGGCAAAAAAGCTAAATCTTTTCATTGAGTAAAACTTTCGCGAATAAAATTTTTGTCACAAATTGTTAGTGATGAAGAGCGAGCAGTCAAAAAATGCAAACAAAGTGTAAACATAAATTTAAAAACAATTAATTACCAGTAGGAAAGGAAAAATTTATGGAAATGGAATACAAATGCGAATCAAACTACATAACGACAAGACTCGCCGAAACGCACCTGTTTTCAATCACTGTCGAACTTGTCGGTTTATGCAATTGACCCGCATTCGCATAAATATATCGTGGTGGTGGTGCCGACCATTCCGATCCATTCATATCCCAATTCTGAAAGTTATTATCATCAAAATATGAATAAAGCCATGCGTTAAAGTGCAAGCCGTAAAGTAGAGGAGAAACTCAAGCTGAAACAGCAGGTGCCGGGTAAGTGCTACACGGCAAGCTGCAGTTACTTAATCGATTACAATGTTGGACGCAGGGATGCATATAACGCACAACGTGTCTATTCATTGTTTATACACAAAATAATTTGCTGACTCGGGATTTCACGTGGGAAAAGACAAACAAAGTAAATCGACTTTTGCAACTTGAAAAATTCAAGTAAAGCAAAAAAAAGCCCGATTTTTCATAAAAGAAGCACCCAGACCATTCTATAAACAGCAAAACGACCAGTGGATGATATATGGTCGATGGGGACCAACGACCAAACAGAAAACAAAACAGCTAGGTTAACTAATGCTTATGGAGAAAACCGTGTGATTATTTCATGCGAACTAAATCTACAACTAAGAAAAGTAAATGCAGGAACTAGATACATGGATGGAAGTAGAAAATTATATTGGAAACAATAAAAAACATATTCGAAGTGGAGATGTCAAGTAAAGTCGAACTTACGAGGGTTACTGTGTGTAAAAATTATTAGAAAAAAAGGGATATGATTTTGAACTATGAATGAAAAAACGGATAATCGATAGGAGAGATCTTAAGGAAACGGAAAGGATAGCATTGAATAAGAAAACAAAAAATAATAGAAAGATTTAGGAATTCTATGAAAACAGTAAATAATAAGAAGATATCTTATATATAAAGCTGAATGTCTGTTTGTCTGTATGTCTGTCTGTCTGTATGTGTGTACGTATGTTCCGAATAGAAAATTCCATTTCTGAACCGATCCGGACCAAACTTGGCACACATACACTTCGGGCCCCAACGGGTGTCATAGGCTACTTTTCGTCATCGATCGATATCGATTTTATCGATTTTTATCGATTTTTTTGCTGAGTTCACCTACGGGGCTGGGAGTTGGCACAGGGGGGTAATCGAGCATGGGGATTCCGAATACAATATTGGTTTTCAGGATTATCGATTACTTTTATCGATTTTATCGATTTTTTTGCAAAGTTTGAGCTAGGGGGCTGGAATTTGGCACAGAGGGGTAATCGAGCATGCTGATCATCCCCAAGGGGGGTGATCAGCATGCTCGATTACACCCCCGTGCCAAATTCCAGCCCCCTAGCTCAAATTTTCAAAAAATCGATAAAATCGATAAAAGTAATGGACGATCCTGAAAACTAATATTGTGTTCGTAATCAGCATGCTCGATTACCCCCCCCCCTGTGCAAAATCCCAGCCTCGCATGTCAAAATTTACAAAAAATCGATAAAATCAATAAAAGTAATCGATAATTCTGAAAACTAACATTGTATTCGGAATCCCCATGCTCACTCCCCCCCTGTGCCAACTCCTAGCCCTGTAGGTGAACTCTGCAAAAAAATCGATAAAAATCGGTAAAATCGACATCGATCGATAACGAAAAGTGGACTGTGACACCCGCCGGGGCCCGAAGTGTATGTGTGCCAAGTTTGGTCCGGATACGGCGGAGCCGGGTAAGCCAGCTAGTAGGAATTATATGCAGGATATACCAAAAACCACCATCAAAAAATTTTTCCTACAAAACTCAGAATTTATGCCATAGCAAGGCAAAAAGTCGTACAAAGTCCGATCCCGCGCCTAATCGCGACAGCGCCCATTCCACCCCACAAATCGAATTCTAGAATACCCCAAAAATACCCATTTCAAAGCGTAAAGTGCAATGTAATCCCTCTTCAAGCCACCATCACCATCGACAGCAGCAGCACAGCAGCAGCGCCATGACTCCCGCTGGAATCGAAGCGAATCGGCACGTCATTCTTGCTCGGCCACAAATAACATGACAAAAACTCTTTTAATTTCAATGTACTAGCTTTCGTAAAGTGCGATGGGTGTTCGAGAAAGTTCCGCAGTTGAATAAAGTGCCTATTGGTGCAATTTAGCACGGAAAAATTGCGAATAGATTTATCGCTGTGGACAGATACACAACAGCAGATAGACACACACACACACACACACAAACAAACACATCGACGATAGAGCCGTCATTAGATTCGAGAGCGGAATCGATGCATTCAGCACCATAGACGCTCACACATACACATACACCATACGCTGATGCGGGATAACGGGACGACGATGGACGGGGGAGAGCCGGGGAAATGAGGGGGGGGGAGCATCGAAACACTTTGGCAGCCAGGGAGAGCGCGCTCGGCGGTGCCGACGGCTGGCTGGTGGTGGCAGCCGAGGCCCACGAGGGCAAAAAGCCACCATTGAACTGACGGCTAATTCATGAAGAGAGCACCTGGGCTGCTGCACTGCACTGCAGCAGCAGTGCATCGACGCAAAAGAGTCAGTCAAATGAGCGCACAACGCACAAGAAGGCAAGCACTGCTGGGTACGGGGATTTGCCCGACTTTCAAAAAGCAAGCGTTCATAAAATAGGGAGACAGATGTGAAAAATGAGCATTGAATTTCTACACTATAGGGAGAGATAGGGCCTTCGTAACGAACAGCTTCTAAATCGAACCAAACTAGACCATGAGACCAAAATATGCGCTACGGACTATACCCACGACCAGAAATTTTGCATCACATTGCAAAACAAATAATAATTGATAGTCCTATTCCCCACGATAATCAACAACAAATATGTAGCAAGCCAAAAATGGCTAGAATCGAAGAGTATCCGAATCAAGAAGTCCGTTTAAAAGTAAAGAAAATGGTAAAATGCAATCGACAAGTGTCGAAGAGAGACTAAAAGAAGAATAGAAAACGGTCCGGCGTTGCACAAATCCTGTTCAATAGGAAGAGCATGAGGGAGTAAATAGCAATCACTTCTCCTGAAAGGGTGTGGCGGGAGCCTCGCTCCCAAGAGCTTCCAAGAAAATTTCAACATTCTTCGCAAATTAATAATTCTGAGATTGGCGAAAACGCCACCACATGAGAATTTTTTTTACGATGCTTTTGTAAAAAAAAGTACAGTCTTACTACAAGAAAAACTTAATTACTAGTATTATTTATCGGCCTTCGAAGAAAAAATGTAAAAAACGTCTTAAATGATTGTCGACCCTTCAACCCTCTTCGCATCACTGCTGATTTTTGTCTTTCCTGAGGAGATACGTAAATTTTTTGAAGAAAAGTAATCGACTATATTCGACTTCCTACGAAGGCGGAGAAGCGCAACTGGAGCTAAAATATTCTTTCCACCCACCCAAGCCGAGTAATGTATTGTGACCCATCAATCTCAATGGTGAACGTCATGCCTTCTGACGTTCACCATTAGGTCATTCTTCATCCGCACAATTTCGCAATTTCCATGCATAAAAACGAGCCAGGCTATTTCTGGAATTGACGCAAAGCCACGAAAGTGCGAGAATCGACGAGTTAAATGAGTTCTCTGCATTAGACGATGATGTGCAAGTCGGACAACAGGAAGAGCAGCAGATAAATGGGCACTGATCATAGGATGCGAGGCTCTAAATCCAAGGCTTTATAGCTGAGAAGTGGCTAGCCAGGGCTAAGGACTGCTGGAAGGCCAGCTCAATCGAGGTACCAAGTGCCACGCCCCCAAGTCCTCAATAATGGACATTCACATGGTAATGTTAACAAGCTACATGTCACACACAGCCCATAAACTACGACAGATGACAAATCTTCTCATATGGCAAAAGCTCTCTCCCTCAGTAACCCATCACTCAACGCTCTTAGACACGCGCGTTGGTAAGGACGTCTGGGTTGTGAATGATTTGCATCATGTCAGCAGAGCCTGAAGGAGCCAAAAACAGCTTTTGTGTGGGCATTTTATTGCAGGAAGGTTGTAAATGCAGTTTATGAGGAAATGACACGACTGATGGTGACAGGAAACTTGCGAAAAGCAAAAGGAAAAAGAAGATATTGATTGTATCCATCATGGTAGACATGCACATACTACATAGTTATCTCCCATAGAATTGCGCATAAAAAAGGATAGAGAGGTGGTCGGAGGATGGCAAGCTCCGCCCATATGATAGTCTCCGCCCACAACATAAGCACAGTAATTATACACAACAGGATGCACAGCATGTCCTAAGGCATACCAAATCTGACTTGTAGATGTGCAGTAACCCTCATTTCAGGCTATCAAAAACACATAAGAACATAAAAAGAGTTGAAGAAAAGTTGCAGAGACAGGCAAGAATGCTTGCTTAGAAAGCAGTGAGGACCAGTTTTCCCAGAGTAGAACGAGAGATTTGTGCTATAGCACTTTCCCAAGGTTACCGCGCTCGCTGCACTTGACTGGAACCAGAAAAGGAAAGACTAAACGATCCTAAAGTGGAGCATCATGTGTGCCGAATCGCTCTTTGGTCAATTATTTCTGCTGGCCAATTTGAAAAAAATTTACCGGAAGATATTTCCGTAAATCAGCAGTGCTTTAAGGACCTGCTACATCATTTCCCATCCAAAACAGACCGGATAGCAATCGTTTACGTCACGCCCTGAAACGCTACCCATTTTCAAACCTCTTAAAGTAAAAGCATTAAATTTCAATCGAATTGTGACGATGAGTGACGAAAGTCGACGAAAATAAGTCATCCTCCATTATTCGCATTGGAAGCCATAGAGAGCAACGGAAGATTTGCACGAAATGAAAAGGAAATTGCGTGGGAATGCATAATGGATTCAATGGTCAATGGACTATGATTGATATCCTGCGCTGCTCTATATTATTTGCTTTAGAAGCAAAACTTTCTTACGATGAAGACAAAACAGAAACTCAAAGTTGAAAAAACTTTTGTTACAACATTGTTACGACGAATAAGGAATCTGGGTCTTTCAGATGAACCTTTTAAAATAAGTAAAGGATCAAAAGAGCAGTGGCGAAGGGTGGGACCAAAGTTTCAGAATTAGGCAAGCGCCATGCGTGAGGTAGGGGACAGTAAGCGATTATTTTGTTCAGGTTGGTGTCCCCAGAATAG